ACTCGGCCAGCTGAGCTCGGCACTCTGGCGCTGGCAGGTAGGTATCGCTGGCTGCGCCGGCGGCCAGCCCTATCATCCACGATGCGCTCCCTTCTCTCGCGGTGGTTCAGGACAATAGCGCCCTTCCTCTGCAGCCCCCCCTGCTTCCCTCATCCCTCACATATTCACTGGTGCCGCGTCTTCTTTGCTCGCTGCAACTGCAATGTCTGGCGCTATCGACCACTGCGCCAATCATTGGTATGCACTGATAACCCGGCTGCAACAATTCTTTCTTTCTCTGCTCTCCGCAATGCCATGTTCTCTCGTGCGGACTCTGCCCGCTGTGCACGCAAATAACTCATCGTTGTCCTGAAAAAAATTATCACATATTTTAACTTCAGTTGGAAGTAATAATAGCCCCTGACCTTTGCTGAATGGACAAATCCAGGGTCAGCAGACCGAAACCCCCCTCCCCCCGTGCCGCCAGCCCGAGGGTACCCGTCCAGAAACAAGTACTCGCGCATCCAGGAACCGATGAGGAGAACACATCCAGAGAGCGCTGCTGCTGTTGCTGCTGGCGCTGCCATCGCGCTGCTGATGGGATGTGTAGCGAGAAGCAGCAATATGCCCAGAATGGGAAGGGAGTGCATACACACCCTGCTGCTGCTGCTCAGGATGGGAGGGGGGAGGCTATCTCGCATCGCGCTGGACGACGCATTTGCAATGATTGCTAGAAATAGGGTGCCACTGGGGGAGGGGGAAGCGTGAATATTTGTTGCGTGGAATTTTTGCTGTTTGTTCGGACGAGCCGCGTTTTTGTTCTTGCGGCCCCACATTTATTGCTGCTCCGGATGGATTGTTGTGTATTTCGCTGGGACGTGAGTTTACAGGTGGCCTGGCTCCTTGCTAGCGCTTTCCGAGGATTCAGCTAATTTCGGTACGCTGTCGTAGCTTTGTTACTCGCGCGAGAAATGCGGCCCTGTGCAGTTTGTGCGATGCGTGTGGCCCCTGTTGAATACCTGAGCAGCAGTAGCAGCAGCTGCATGTCATCATCGACGTTCACTGTCACGCCATCGATACAGCACTGGCAACTCCTCCGTTCAACTCGTTGTTGCGCTCTGCTGGACCCTCCCCCTCTACGGCAAATGCCCCCTCGTAGTCTGCGGTACTTTGTAGCTTTACCGCCTGCGATATGTATAGCATCAGATGCCAACCTGCTTCAGCCATACCTCCATTTATGAGTTCCCTGATTCTTCACGCTACGTATCGGAGCGAATCTCGATTTTGCATTGGTTCCCAGTGACAGCCCCTATTCTCAAGAGCGGCGAATTTCCTGAATCACTGGCACTGGTTTGTAGGAGGGCGGTTGAAGAAAGGCACTCAGACGGTAGTCGTGGGCGAAAAGCACACGCGGACTCCGTATCATCGGATCGCCCATCTTATATAGTGATGTTCCTGTAACAGATATCACTGGCCGCTAGCGGAGTGAGGAACTAACTTTTCTCCATTCCCTTAGTGGCCAGTTGGAGAACGCAGCTAAATCTCGTTGAGCAAGCGCTTTTGAGTTGAAAGTCCAAGAGGAGTCCTGAAAAAAATCAACATGTTTTGGATATTGGGTCGCTAGCGTTCGTTGCATCTTTTGATATTCTGATTGCTTGGGCACGTGTCGTCTTTTTTCTTTTTCAGGCTAAATTGATGCTCGTTAACAAAGATCGATGGATGTAGCAGTGGGCTGCCGATAATGTCACACGGTATGTTGGAATTTTCTTGAGAAATAGCAAGCTAGCAAACACCGGGTTGCTGCCTCTGTGTAGCGAGCGGTCCTGATCAGAAGAACGAACTGCATTATCCCACTGTATTGTAGAATTTTTAGAGATATAAACAGTGAATATATCCCTGGCATTGAGCTATTGGAAGAGGACGGAGGCCTGAAATCGCCTCTCTACGTTAACCCATGTGCAGCTTGTTTGGCGTTGCTGGCCCAGCAGCGTGGAGAGGAGGAACAGAGTCGAATTTTGATAATTAATGAAAACACAAGAAGGGCCATTTAGATCTCTTATATAGGCAAGCCTGTATGAGCAGCGAACTCATGCGCGAGAGGCAGAACCACCGTCAGCTTACTCCTA